AGACTGTCTTGGGAGCCAAGTGTATTTTTCTCCCTTTTTTTTTTTTTTTTTTTTTTTTAACTGGTGCTGTCCCTAGTTGCCCATTTGGTATTTTGGAAGAGTACCAGTTTTAAGGTGATCTGTCAAATAGAAGTAACCTCCTTCCCTGTGTTTTCAAGGCATAATGTCAGATTAAGGGCCAAAGGCCTGTGGTATGCTGGGACCTCCGTGGGTAACCTTTGAGGGTAAACGTGTGTGGTCTCTGTGTCTGTGCTCCCGCAGGCTCATCAGATTCAGGAGATGTTTCCTCAGGTTCCGTACCACCTCGTGCTGCAGGACCTGCAGCTCACACGCTCAGTTGAAATTACAACAGACAACATTTTAGAAGGACGGATTCAAGTTTTTTTCCCTACACAGGTAAAACTGGGGTTGTAAGCATGACAAATAGATTCTGTCTTCCAAAGATTTAACCCTCTAGATGAATATTTTTAGAATTTAACTGAATATCATTTGATTTGATGAAGGGTTTTGATAAACTCCCTAAGTTTTCCCAAGTTTCTGACTAAGAGCAGACCCACTAATGAGAAGGACATGGCCCCAAACCGGACTGTCATTGTCCGTCTTGGAGGTCATAGCATCAGGTACTGTAGGACCAGGAGTGACAGCTTTTCTCATCAAGTACAGATAATAAATATTTAGGCTTTGTGGGCCTTACCGTTTCGGTTGCAGCTTCTCCGCTCAGCCGCTGTAGCATTGAAGCAGGTGTGACCTATACAGTGAGTGAGCAAGACTGTTCCAAGGAAGCTTCATTTTCAAAAACAGGCAAAGGGGTGAATTTGGCCCTTGGGCTGCAATTTGCCTATCCTCTGCTCTAGGGGGCAATGCTGCCCATCCCTCGTTGGCTTTGAAGATTGATGTGGTATTTCATTAGGTATAATTCACATCTGTGTGAAGCTCGAATTTTTGACCTTTTTGAAAAGGCCAGCTTTTCTCCTTGGTGGGTACAGGAAGTATTAGTATATCATAGAGGAGCTTTCTGGCAAGACTGAGGCCATTGCGTATGGTCAGGCATAATCTACCACAGTCTTATTCAACTTCAAGATGTAAGAATATATGGAAATCTATTAATGAAATTAAAAAACTCAAGACTAAGGAGGTTAGTGTGGACTCAGGAATCACATGGGCTGAGAGGAGCCGTGTTCTCCAGGTGTCAGCTGTTTGACCTGGCTGCTGCCTGTGGGTTTCCCAGGAGCGGACCAGGATTCAACCACAGATAGATAATAGGGGAGGCCACAGCCGAGGGTGTGTTATCAAGCAGGTTACTACTGAGGGGGCTGAAGGTTGATCCCACCCAGGGCCTCTGGAATCCAGGATGGGTATCAGCTCTCCAGAGAGAGGAGCTGGGTGTTTGTACACAGCGCCCGTCAGTCTGTGCTTAGAGGCTGCCTCTGGAGGTGGCAGGTTACCTTGTGCAGCCCCAATCCTCAGGCTGGGAAATACAGAAACTGGCCAGCAAGCACTGGGGTGGTAATCCTGGAAGGGATCTGAGCCCCAGTGTGTCTGCAGCATTGGTCAAGATCTTAAGCTGGCTGAATAGGAACATCGGTACCCGTTTCCTCGGTGTTAGGGAAATAAACGAGACCATCACGTCCGGGGTTCCTTGGTGCCGTGCAGAGTGAAGCATGCAGTCCATGTTTCCTGCTGTTGTCGTTGTTGTTTGCGCTGTGCAGGTGCTGCTATTGAGCAGGAAACTACATGTGGAGCCCTTGCTGTCTCTCAAGTTTGGAACTCTAGCTTAGGCCTCAGGCTCCCTTGTCTTACCTCTAATCTTTGTGGCATTGTAATTTCTCTGGAGCCATAGGCTTTGTTAGAGTTCCAGGCTGTGTTGGGGACCATGCCTCCTCTGTACCCCAGGTCTCCCTAGATCTGCTATTTAGTTTCTGAGTGACTCTGCTGTGTGTGGTCCTGTTTCTCTTTCAGCGGTCAGATAGCATTAGACCTGCATTGAACAGTCCTGTGGAAAGGTCAAACCATGACCAGGAAGAAGGAGAAGCTTCTACTCAGGTAAGCCCAGCACATTAGAGAGCGGGTATGGACTGTGGAGGAGTGGGTTCTGCCAGTGGTTGTCTGCAGTGTTGCCTGGTGTTTGCGAGGCTTAAGGCAAGAGCACAAAAGAAGGCCATGTGCTGTGTCTGCCTCGGTATTTGCGTTGAGCAGGTCAAGCGTGCCCGTGGTGTAGCCTGCGTTTACCCAGGACCCACAGCCTGTTCCCTGAGGTTTGTCCTTGGAGGATAGGAGTCATTTTCTCCTGGGCTGACCCTGCCACCATGAGCTTGCATGGGAGCAGGTGGAGGGGCAGAAGGAAGCTGGGCCCAGCTCTGAGGGTTACTGGACCCACTGAAACATGGATGGGGACAGGCCGAGATCGGCTCTCTAGGGAGCTGAGGCCATAGAGTTAATTACTCTCTCTCCAACATTCCACTTGTCCAGCCCAGGATTTCCACCTATGTTTGTGCATGTTGCAAAAACCAGACCTCGGGGCTGACAGGCTCCATGACGGTGAAGGGCGTCCCACATGGCCGACTGCAGTTCAAGTCCTGGTCCTTGCAGCTTCCTTTCTCACTTTCCCTCTCTCCTCTCTCCCACTCTGTCCCTCTCTGATCAAATTGAAATAAATAAATTAATAAAGTTAAATAAAATAATTCTTAAAAAATAAAAAACACAAACAAAACAAAACCAGACCTCCTAAGCCAGGTCAAGTGGAGGTAGAGAAGTGTGGTTATCTTGGAGACCAGCTCTCTTCTAGGCACCCACTTTGGGTGACTTGGGGTGGCTCCCCCTAACCAGAAGCAGCTCTTCTGCCTGCCCAGCAGAGGTACACTTCCCTCTGTGCTCAACCTTAGCCTCTGGGGCTCCACTCCTATAATTCCCGTACTTTTAAAACACATTCTTAAAAGACCAACAATAAAAACCAGACAACCTGCCTCTGTGCGTACATGTTGGTGACACATGGGGCTTCCTGCATGTGGGGCGCCATCTAGGTGGTGCTGCCTTCCTTCTCAGGCGAGCCAGGGTCCTTCTTGAAGCCGTGGCTGATTGAGTGACATGGAAGTTGCTTTTATAACTCTTGTCTTTTTCTCTGCAAGCAGGAAACAGTGACAGCTACTGAGTCTTCTTTAAATCTGTTGCTGGGTTAAAATTTTCATATCCAAATTTATAATTGGATTGTGCATCATTTGAGAAATGGTGCCTGGTTTCTGAAGAAGAGGTCCCTTTCCACATTTCCAGTTTTGGAGAGGGGCTTAGCTGAAATGCGAACGCTAGACTGGCTTGAGGCATGTGTGGGTGGAGCATGTTCAATTTCAGTCTTTGTTCCCTGACTCTGTCTTTTGGAGTTAGCATAAAGATTTCCAGATTTTTTTTTTTTAATTGGGGGAAGGTATTTCACAAGAAAACTGCTTGCTATTTTGATCATTCTCAGGAAGTAGAAAGTCCTCGAATAACAATCAGCTCATTAAGTCCTCGCTAGATCCAGCTCAGTCATCTGATCAGCTCTGCTCTTCCCTGGGTTCATGGTCCCTGCCTCACCGCAGCTCAGGCCCACGTCAGCCGGGCTTGGAGCCTGCAGCAGAGCAGGGGCTCCAGCAGGCCTCTGTTTGGGTTCTTCCATTTCCTCTTCTACTCACTAGCTGTTCTTTCTAAGCCCCTAGGATCAGGCTCAAGGGCGAGGGTAGGATGAAGTGATGTGACCCCAGTAAGCAAGTATGCATGTGAGTGTGTGTGTGTGTGTGTGTGTGTGTGTGTGTGCGCACGTGGGGGGGGAGTTGATCTCAGCTATCTCCCCACCCCGTCTAGCACCAGGAACTTTCTCAGATCTCCTTCCTTTGAACTTTTACTGGCTGTTTATGATCTCCCCTACCTTGATGGGGGTCTCCTCTACCTTTGCAGGGGCAACATCACCCCTCCAAAGGGTCCTTTGGGGCAGTGTTTCCAGCAACCTTACGTGTGTTCCCTCCTGCAGGGCCACAGTGTTGCCTGCGCTGAGGGAAGTAGCGCTTTCTCCAGCACAGCCCCTCTTTCTCTGCTCAGCTGGTTTCTTCCTTTTGGCTTGCTCGGGAGTGTGTGGTCACCCACCCCAGTGTCCTCCAAACTCTAGGGGATAGGAGGCAGGCTCTCCACATGGCATTCTTTTTTTGTTTGCTTTTTAAATTTAATGTGTGATCATAATGTTATTCATATTACATTGAATCACATGTATCTTTACAGTATATTACATTTACCATGCATTATCAGTCAAGATCCACGTGGTATTCTTGAAGTCCCCTCTCAGGCTTGACTGATGGCAGACAGAGGTGGTGCGGGTAGATAGCAGAAAAGCACCACACAGAGGAAGATAAAATAGCCTGCCTCTCAGGCTGCTATCCTCAACCCTGTCACAGCCTGGAGGCGGGCAGTGGGCTGACCCTGGCCGGCCTGGGTCTGCGTCTGGTAGCATGAGCAGCACTGATGGTCGGGCACTTGTTTAAGGTGGTAGGGATGCTTGGGCATTGCCTTGGCCTTCAGAGCTTCAGCCAAAGCCAAGGGAGTGTCTTCTTTTTCTTATTTTTTAAAGGTGTTTAGGCCTTAGGGTATGTGTGTTTCCTGAAGAGAGGCAGAAAGAGGGAAACTGAGAAATCATCCCCCTAGGGGGATGGCCATGCCACAGTCCCTGCTCCTCTGTTCTCCTCTTGGGATTTTGGGCACGTGCACACACATGCTCAGCATGATTTTAAAGCCTCCAAATCCAGGGCTTAAACTGTGGTTGGCCATGTGGGAGTCCAGAGCCCTAACCACTACACCACCTGCTGGCTCCTGAGATTGTCCCATTTTAGCATCCTGCTACACAAGGAATCACATAATCTATTACATCTGTTTTTAAAATTAGATCATTAGATTTACCTTTTATGTGCTTGGCTGTTTCAGAGTCAAGCGAGGCTATAACATGTATGCAGTAAATGAGATAAAACTTGTTCAAATTTTTGAGCAACTAGTAGACTTGAACAGAACATTTCTAGAATGGCATTTGTGACTAACATTATTATGTTCTGAGTTTGGAGGTATTTATGTTTCTTGCTCATGAGGCAGGCCCTGTTCTTGGTGTGCGCAGCCACGTGCAGGGGCCCAAGGAGCTCACGACTCCATCCTGCACGCCTGCCTGGCAGTGCTATCTGTGAGTCAGGAGAACCCTGTCCGGGGGTGCTCCAGTCAGGTGGGGTCTCTGCTGAGGAGGAAGCCCGTGCTCATGGCTGCCTCCTTGCCTCCCCATGTCCAGACTGAGCGAGTGCCACTGGACCTCAGTCCCCGCCTGGAGGAGACAATGGACTTTGGTGAGGTGGAGGTGGAGCCCAGCGAGCTGGAAGACTTCGAGGCTCGGGGCAGCCGCTTCTCCAAATCTGCAGACGAGAGGCAGCGCATGTTGGTGCAGCGCAAGGATGACCTCCTGCAGCAAGCTCGGAAGTAAGTGGCTCTTCAGCCTCTGCTGGCGTAAACCCTCGGTCAGGAATCAGGGGTGGAGTGCTGTTGTCACGTCGGGCCTATCTTTTCTCATTTTTCCTTTATCTTTCTTTTTTAAAATTTTTGCCCTAGGGTGTGTGTGCTTGCCAGAGACAGAGGGAAAGCAAAAAAGCGCCCTCCGTGGGGCATGGTCACACCAAAGTCCCTTCTCTTCCATCTCCCCCTCCTTGTGTAATTGTGGGCACACACACATGTACCTGCCGTGATTTTCAAGCTGACTTGGATGGCACACTCCGCTGTGTGGAATCCAGCCACCTCAACCACCCTGCCACCGGCTGGCCCCCCACATCTTCAATTTTTAAACAGATGTCTACATTTAAAAACCATTATTCACCAAAAATAAATAAATAAATAAAACAGATTTCAAATTTTTCTTGGAAAAAAAGCAAACAAGAAGATCTGACCATGCTGGGCCCCCTGGTACCTTCAGTGGGCTGGTGCTGTCAGCGGTCGCCTGGGACCATGGTCTGCCATGCTTGCCCACAGTGCCAGCCTGTTCCGGCCAGTGTGTTCATTCCTTTAACAACTCCAAGGGGGAGCGCCGGTGCACCCATTTGACAGGCTGTGGCTGGAGAAACTCAAGAAGAGGGAGATAAACACTAGCTCCTAGGTCCTCTTGACCTGTCAGCCTTCCAGCCCAGCCTGTAACACACTTCGGCATCACACACCCACGGCCAGTGGCTGCTGAAACGTGTGTCTGTGGCTAGGTGGGGGTTGAGTTCAGATCCTCAGTTCAGGGCCAGCGGTGTTGCTGCAGGCCGGTTTTGTGTCCTACCTGGACCTGGCGATTGGGTCGGGGGTGAGAGGGTGGGGTGGGCAGAGGAGAGAGAGCGCTTGCTGGGTCTCCTCCTTGGTGTTGAGAGAGCCGTTCATCAGTTCAGGGTTAGCTGTCTTTGTCATGGGCTGGTGCTGAGTGACAGACAGCCCATGAAGGTTCCTGGAGAGTGGAGAGACTTAATCATCCTGTAGGAGTTCCAGAGCTTCCCTGTCTCTCACATGACTCTTGTTGTTCGTAGACGTTTCTTGAACAAAAGTTCTGAAGATGACACGGCCTCAGAGAGCTTCCGCTCTTCAGAAGGCACGTCCTCTGACCCTGTGACCCTGCGTCGAAGGATGCTGGCCGCCGCCGCTGAACGGAGACTTCAGAAGCAGCAGACCTCCTAGCGCTTCCTCCTCGTCCCTCGGCCGCCTCTCCTCAGCCCTGTGCCTGCCAGGAAGAGGCCTGTCCCGTTCTGCCTGCCGTGTGAAGAAGCGGGCTTGACTGCATTGCCGCTGTATAAAGCATGTGGTCTTAATAGTGTTTGGACAGCTGAAAAATTTAATCCTTCTTTGTAATACTTTCTATGTGACATTTCTCTTCCCCTTAGAAATACTGCACATTTTAACTCTAGGCATGATCTCTTCTGGCGTGGACTGGACTTCCTGGGGGTGGGCACAGCCAAGAGGAAGCGGGCCCCCCTGCCTGCAGCAGGCCGCTGGGACTGCCGCCTTATGCATAAGTCACCACAGATGCTGGTGTCCTTAGCTCCTTAGCTGGCAGGAGGAGTGCGCGTTGGGGGAGACGCGTAACGAGCAGTGAGGAGACACGCAGAGGGAGCCCGCGCCACACGGGGACAGCTGTCAGACCTTAGCAAGCCTGCGCCCTCAGTGCTCCGGAGGCCAGCCCCACAGGCTCCAGGGCCACCAGGCTGCAGGCATTTTGTAAGAACTCCTGGTGAAGTGCTTGGAGCAGAGGAGGGCGAGCCCAGGGCTGCGGTGTGAGGAGGAGACCCCTTTATGTCCCATGCCATCCGGGACTGACTTTCGGAGCGTCCAGTCCTCGGCTGATGGGATTTCCGTTAACTCTGGTGCTCCTGCATCTCACGAGGTCCTGGTGTCTCTTTCCTCTCTGTGTTCCCTTGCCACCCCTGGACGTGGGAAAGGGTTAAGCCGCAAGCTTTGGTTTTTGGTTTAAGTCCCTGGTCAAGTTAATTAGGCAATGCCAAAGCCTGTGCGTTTGGTCCTTGGCAAAGGCCCTTGTAAGATGGGAGAATAAATTTTAGAGGGCTTTACCGAAGAAACTTTTGTATCTTTCTTCCCTGGAGCCCTTCATTTTCATAACTTTGTTCCTGTTGGTTTAATTAAACATAGAAAGGTAAGAGGTTGAATCCATATGCTTTGGAACAGACCCAGGTCCTGAATCTTTTCAAATTGTTCACATATTTAACTCTGAGGATTTGAAACATGCAATCATAGGTCCGTAGTTCAGTTTTACGCCCCACTGGATTAAGGTTTTTATTAATGTTTGAAAGCATACTTTTATGGTAGTCCTTTTGAGAAGAATCCAGTATTACCTAAAATTATTGGCAAAGTTAAATGTATTTTACATAACTGGAAGTTTTTAGAATGTTGAAAGGTAATTGAAAAAATGGTGATAGGTACATATTTAGGCAGAGATAATTTATTTCAATCTTTCAAAAAGCCTTACCTTGAAATGCTGTTAGTAAATTTCTGTGATTTTTAAAAAAATTTTTTGTTTTGTTTTGCTGAAAGCATAGCTATTTGTTTTTATTGTAAAACAATAATAATAATAAACAGCAGACTCTTCTAGCGCGTTGTGTGTGGCTGGAGGCTAAGGCCGCGTTCTTCAGAGGTGCCAGCGTCGAATCCCATTTGGATTTTGTGTGTACTATTTTGGTCAGAAAACTGAAAATGTTTTCATTCTTTTGAATTGGGGAATTTTATTTTTTGGGGAAAAGGCAGAACTGAATTTTCTTTCCCTTATATTTCTTTTTGTTGGAGAGGTTTTTTCACTATAGGGCACGTGCGCTCGCCAGACAGACAGAGAGAGACAGAGAGACAGAAAGCGAGAAATCACCTCCCAGGGGGGATGGCCACGCCGCAATCCCTTCTCCTCCATTCTCCTCTCGGGATCTTGGGCACACACGCACACGCGCCCGGCGTGAGTTTTAAGCCACCGGGTCCAGGACGCGAACCACGGTCGACTATGTGGGAGTCTAGCGACATAGCCATTACGCTAACTGCTGGTCCCCTATATTTCATTTTTTTCAGGGTAAGTAAAGAGAAGGTATTTTATTTTCCTTGAATTATATCATACTGTGCATATTGTACACATTAAAAGCGACAGTGATTCCACATACTCTTATGTTTCCGATGTACAAAAGGAAAAAATAGTTGGTGGTCGATGTCAGAGGGTCTGGAGACGTTGGAATACACCATTAAGGCCGTGACTGAAAGAGGACGCAGTCCTTAAGTAGTGCCACGTGGCCCAAGAAGAGCAGTCCTAAGTTCACCCTGAGATTTTGCACCCACTCAGTTGTGGATCCTGGTACTACAAAAGTCTCCCAGCTTTTATCACTTCCTGAGGACCTGAGGACATGGAGACTGGTGCCGAGGGCAGCTGGGTGGGCTCCCTTCCCCATGCCTCCTCTCACTGTCCTGGTAGGCTGCAGGGTCACACAGCTCAGGGTTAGGCTCAGTCCCTGGAGCAGCAGAACTGCTGGTCAGCCGCCGGCTCGAGTCTAAACGGAGCCCAAGGAGTGGACGCGTGCTCTGGCGAGTGGTGGCTGAGTTGCCCTCGCCCTCTCTGGGCTCCTTTGGCACTAGTCTGTCTGTGCTACTCTCTCCATTTTCTTTTTTCTTTCTTTCTTCTAAATTTTTGCCATAGGATGTGTGCACTTGCCAGAGAGACACAGTAAGAGGGAACATGAGATATCACCCCCAGGGTGGCTGACCATGCCACAGTCTCTTCTCCTTTCTCCTATTTGGATTTTGGGCACGCACACACACACATCTGGTGTGATTTTTAAGCTCTAGGTCCAGGACTCAAACTGGATGATGGGCCCTGTGGCTGTTTCACTTGTGTTGATGTGAATCCTAGGTGCTCAGGTGGCTCTCGGGGCTGGTTTCTCTCTTGAGCTGTGTAGACGATGTGCTCTTTTATCCGGAGACAGCTGACTAGATCCTCTGTGGTGTGACTCCCTACCACAGGAAAGGAGGAACCTGAAACTCTGCTAAAGCAGAGCCCATAATTTAAAGGGAGCCACTGCCTTGCCAAGGAGCTTGTCAAGGAAGAACCCTGCTACCTGCCTGCCTTCAAGGGCCTCCCATGATCTGGTGCTTCTGGCTCTCAGCATTTCCGCCTTCTGTTAGGCTAGGAGTGGATCTGTCACCATACTCCTTCTCATTTAATTGGTCTCCCTGCATTCTTGCCGGAAAATGCTTCCTGACCTCCCTTTTGAGAAAGATAAGGCAAGGGCCAGCTGGTGGCATGGTGGTTAAGGTGGCTGGATCCTACATGGCCGACTGCATAGTTCAACTGGGTGGCCTGAAAGACACATGGTGCTTGTGCATGTGTGCCCAAAATAGGAGAAGGAATGGTGTGGCCATCACCCCTGAGGGTGATTTCTCTCTTTCTCTCTCCCTGGTGAGTACACACATCCGATAGAAAACAAACAAACAAACACAAAGCAAAGGGAACTTCTGCTGATTAGTTTTTTTTTTTTTAAAAAAAGAGAAGTTTTTGCTATAGGGCGCGTGCGCTCACCAGAAAGACAGAGACAGAGAGACAGAAAGCAAGA